AGGAAGTAGTATAACGGAAGACCTTCTCATTACTAGTAATGAGTTTCTAGTTCTTTTTATTATTATTATTTTTTTCCCCTTTTCTTTTCGGACGATTTCTCAGAGATGGCTGGACGGATTTTCTTGAAATTTTCAGGGATAATAGAAAATAAAAATACCTACAAAAGTAACTTTCATTTTTTTCAAAATTCACTTCCGGTCGTCAGATATGTCCGATTTCCGTCTTTTTCAGAAATATTTTGTCCGAGTCATATCTCAGAAACGGTAAGAGATTAAGACACCAAACTTATATGAGTAATAGATCTTGAGGAGTAGGCAAATCCATTTGGGTTAAGAGCGTCAGCCGTCACTTCCGGTCGTCACAGGAAGTGATCAAAGAAATCGAAAATTTCAACTTTTCTTTTTTGAATCTTTTTTTGCATCACTTTATTGCATCTTATTTGTAGTTTCGAAATATGTTGGTCCCACCGGAAACAAAAACGACAACTTCCGGTTATAAGCGAAAAACTGCATAATTTGAGTATTTTACTTTCCCATAAATATTTTTTATAGACAATGTATTTGAACTGATTTTTGAATATGTTATCAAGACTGCAAATGTCTAGAGTAACGTCAAATATCTTTGTAAAATTCACTTCCGGTCGCGCGATTAAATGTCCGCAAAATGAAAACTTGTCAGAGTGAGATCTCAGAAACTGTAAGAGATTATGACACCAAACTTACAGGAGTATTAGACCTTGAGGAGTAGACAAAACCATTTGGGTTAAGAGCGTCAGGCGTCACTTCCGGTCGTCACAGGAAGTGATCAAAGAAATCAAAAATTTCAACTTTTCTCTTTTGGAATAAGACTTGCATCATATAATTGTATCTTTTTCACAGTTACGATATGTGTTGGTCCCACCGGAAACAAAAAACGACAACTTCCGGTTATAAGAGAAAAACTACATAATAAGAATTTTTAATTTTCCCATGAGATTAAGACACTAAACTTATAGGAGTAATAAACCATTGTGAGTAGGCAAAACATAAAGGGTTAAACGCGTAATCCGTCACTTCCGGTCGTCACAGGAAGTGATCAAAGAAATCAAAAATTTCAACTTTTCTTTTTAAAATTAAAACTTGCATCACTTTATTGTTTCTCTTTCGCTGTTTTGAAATATGTTAGATTCTATCGGAAACAAAAACTTTAAACTTCCGGTTTTAAGAGATAAACTACGTTATTTCGTGGTTTAACTTTCTCATAAATATCACTTATATATAAGTATTTGAAATGTTTTTACATATGTTGTAGATACTGCAAAAGTCAAGAGAAAATTCAGAGATTTTTATTCAGTTCACTTCCGGTCGTGTGTTTTCCTGCCCTCAAAATTAGAATTTGTTCTCACATTTGTTCGGCAACAATAATAGACTGAAGTCTAAAACTTTCAGGACTTATAGTCAGTCATCAGTTCATTTGCATCGTGTAAAGATCGTGTGTCGTCATTACTTCCGGTCGTGACAGTAAACGAAGCAAAAAAGTAATTTTTTAAGTTATTTTGTTTCTAAATAAATTTTAGGCTAATACCGACGTTGGAAAAGACATGTTGATGCAAACAGGAAGTAGTATAATGGAAGACCTTCTCATTACTAGTAATGAGTTTCTAGTTATTATTATTATTATTCTTTTTTTCTACTTTCTTCTCCGGTACTTTTTTGTCCGGGAGTGTTCTCATAGAACCACTCATCCGATTGACATGAAACCTTTTTAGGGTTAATAGGCATGTTGTGTAGGTGTTCGGAACGAAGGTCATTTTGCGTGCACATGCATGCACGTGCGCACGCGTGCAATGAGTGAAATGACTGATATACTTGATGAAGCCGTAACTTTTATATTTCTTGATGAATTGCTTTGAAACTCAAAATATAAAGATATATTAGTAGTCTAGACAAGATAACATGGTCAAATTAGCGTGAACTCACGCGCATGCACGTGCGCTCTTCTCTGATTGGCTGATACAAAAATCTCAATAATTTCCTTGTTTTTTGACAAAATACTTTGAAAATTAGAATATATTAAGTATATATTATAAGGTGCTACAACACGTTATATAGGAAATTTCTTGAAAACACGCGCATGCAGGTGTGCTGCAATCTGATTGGTTGAAACTTTAAATGTCTATAACTCCCTTTGTTTTCAACAAAACAGGATGAAATTTATGACAGGGATAGGCACATAGAGCTCCTACATTATGATACTCTCAAAATTGAATGCAAGGCCATGCATGCGCGTATGCTGAATTTTGATTGGCTAATACTTAAAGGGTACATCTCTCTTATTTTTCAATGAAATTCTTTAATATTTAAAACAAATGTATGTATTGTGAGACAATATAAGATAATTAATGTGAAAAATGAAGAAAACATGTGCAAGCACACGCGCTGAAATTTGATTGGCTAATACCCATATGGCTATATCGGAGTAGTTTTCCAATGAAATACCCTTAAAAATAAAGTGTCCATC